AAGAGACTCCATGCAAATGGAAACCAAAAGAGAGCTGGAGTGGCTACACTTACATGAGATAAAATAGACTCTAAAAGAAAGACTGCTGTAAGAGACAAAGAAGGGTGTTACATAATACTAAAGGGGCTAGTCTAGTAAGAGGCTAACACTGGTAAATATTTATGTATCCAACATAGCAGCACCTAAATATATAAAGCAAATCATTAACAGACCTAAGGAAGATATGGACAACAATACAATAATAATAGGGGACTTTAATGTAGTGTTTACATCAATGGCTAGATCATCCGGACAGAAAATCAAGGGAATATTGGCCTTAAATGACCTGTCAGATCAGATGGACTAAGATATTTACAGAATACTGCATCCAAAAGCAATAGAATACTATTCTTCTCACGTGCACATGAAACGTTTTCCAGAATATATTATGTTAGGCCACAAAACAAGTCTTAATAAATTTAAGAGGACTGAAATGATATCAAGCATCTTTCCCAACAACAATGGTGTGAAACTAGAAATTTACAAGAAAAAAAACTGGGAAATTCACAAATAGTGGCTGTTAAACAACATGCTACCGCACAACCAACAGGTCAAATAAATCAAAAGAGAAATTAAAAAGACACCTTGAGACAAATGAAAATAACATTCCAAGATTTGTGAGATGCAGCAAAAGCAGTTCTAAGAGGGAAGTCCACAGAAATAAATGCCTACCTCAAGAAATAAGAAAGGCCTCAAATAAAAAACCTAACTTTATACCTAAAAGAACTAGAAAAAGAACAAGCAAAGCCCCAAATTAGTAGAAGGAACAAAATAACAAAGATTAGTGCAGAAATAAATTAAATAGAGATAAAAAAAAGCCAATAGAAAATATCAGTGAAACTAAAAGCTGGTTCTTTGAAAAGATAGACAAGTCTTTAGCTAGTCTCACCAGGAAAAAGGGGATGCAAATAAAATCATAAATGAACAAGATGCTACAGCTGATATCACAGAAATACAAAGGACCATAAGAAACTACTATGAATAACTACATGCCAAAAAACTGGACAACCTAGAAGAAATGGGTAAACTCCTAGAAACATACAACCTACCGAGACTGACTCATGAGAAAACAGACCAATTACCAGTATGCAGACCGAATTAATAATATAAAATCTCCTAATAAATAAAGGTCCCAGACCAAATGGCTTTACTGGTAAATTCTACCAAACATTCCAAAAAGAATTAATACCAATCCTTCCCAAACTCTTCCAAAACAAATTAAGAGGAAGAAATTCTTCCCAACTCATTTTATGAGGCCAACATTACCCTGATAACAAAACGAGACACGGATGCCACAAGAAAGGAAAATAACAAGTCAATATTTCCTGATGAACAAAGATGCAAAAATCCTCAACAAAATATTAGCAAACTGAATTCATCAATACATTAGAAGTATCATACACCAAGTGAGACTTATTCCAGGGATGCATGGATGGTTCAACATCTGTAAATCAGTCAATGTGATACACACACTAACAAAATGAAGGATTAAAAATTATGAGTTTAATAGATGCAGGAAAGCATCTGACAAAATTCAATATCCATATTAAATGATAAGAACTCTCAACAAGAGGGAACATACTCCAACGTAATAAGGTCATATATGACAAGCCCACAGCTAGTATCACACTCAGCAGTGACAAATTGAAAGCTTTTCCTCTAAGATCAATAACAAGACAAGGATGCCCACTCTAACCACTTTTATTCAACATAGTATTGAGTTGTAGCCTATGGAATTAGGCAACAACAACAAAAAGGCATACAAATTGGAAAGGAAGAACTAAAACTGTCACTATTTACAGAAGACATACAAAGAAAACTTAAAACTCCATCAAAAAACTGTTAGAATAGATGAATTCAGTAAAGTTGTAGGATACAAAATCAATACACAAAAATTTGTTTTGTTTCTATACACTAATAATGAATAGTCAGGAAGTAAGAAAATCCCATTGACAATTGCAATAGAATACACATCCTTCTCAACAGCACATGGAACATTTTCCAAGATAGATTATATGTTAGGTCACAAAACAAGTTGTAGTAAATTTAAGAGGACTGAAATCATATCAAACATCTTTTCCAACAACAATGGTCTGAAACTAGAAATTACAAGAGAAACCTAGAAAATTCAAAAAGAATAAAAAAAAATCTAGGATTATATTTAATCAAGGAGGTGAAAGACCTATATATTGAAAACTACAAGACATTAATGAAAGAAATTGAAGAAGACACAAATAAATGGACAGATATTCTATGCTCTTGGATTAGAAGAATCAGTATTGTTATAATGTCCATACTACCCAAAGCAATCTACCAATTTAATGCAATCCCTATCAAAATGCTGATGTCATTTTCACGGAAACAGAATGAATAATCCTAAAATCTCTACTAAGCTACAAAAGACCCTGAGCAGCCCAAGAAATCCTGAGAAAGAAGAATAAAGGTGGAGGCAGTATATTCCCCAATTTCAACTCTAATACAAATATACAGTAAGTAAAACAGTATGGAACTGGCATAACAACAGACATACAGATCAATGGAACAGAATAGAGAGCTCAGAAATAAACCCATGCATATATGGTCAATTAATTTACAACAAAGGAGCCAAGAATATATACAATGGAGAAAGGACAGTCTCTTCAATAGATGGTGTCAAGAAAATGGGACAACTATAAGCACAGGAATGAAACCTGATCACCATCTTACACTATACACAAAAATTATCTTGAATTGGATTAAAGACCTAAACTTAAGACCTGAAGCCATAAAACTTCTAGAAGAAAACACAGATGGTAAGCTCCCTGACATGTCCTCATGATGATTTTTTGAATCTGACACACAAAGAAGCAAAAGCAAAAATGAAACAAGTGGGACTATGTCAAACTAGAAAGCTGCACAGCAAAAGAAACTATCAACAAAATCAAAAGGCAGCCTAATGAGAGAAAGTATTTGCAAATCCTACATCTACTAAGCAGGTAGTATCCACAATATACGATGAGTACAACTCAACTTTCCATTTTCACTTCATAACTTTGATGCTGTTATTAGCTAACATACATTTACGATTGTTACGCCTTCCTGATGAAAGGACTGTTTTCTCACCGTGAAGTGTCTCTGGTGAGACCCTGTCTTGAAGTCTGATTTACCAACACAGGCGCTCAGCCTTCTTATGCTTATTGTCTGGATCCTCCGTCTCTCCCCATCATCTCTTCTCAATCCATTTTTGAATTTATATTTAAATTCTGCTTTGCAGACAGCATATAGTTGGTTCTTGACTTTTTTACCTGTCCTGACACTTTCTGCCTTTTAATTGGAATGCTTAGTGTATTTCATGCGATCGCTGAGATGGCTGGGTTTAGAGCTGTTATCAGTCCGACACATTCCCTCCGGGTTTTGTTGTTGTTTCCGTTGCTCTGTTCCTCCTTTCCTGCTCTTCTTTACTTTTAGCATTTTTAAAAATTGTATTTTAGTTCACCTCTTGGCTTTTTAGCTAATCTTTGTATCTCACCCTCTATCTTGACCCTGTTACAGATTCAAAAATATCCATGAACAGCAATTGTTCTGGAGACTAATTATCAATGTTTGATTCCCTGCTTTGCCACTTGTCTGCTGTCCGACTTCAGGAAAGTTAAATTACTTAACCTGTTTGTGCCTTAACTGTGCCATATTTAAAATGGAGATAATAACTTATAGGGAAATGCACTTGGGTCACAGTCTTCAGACCAAATTCATTGTTAGAATCAGGGTATAAACTGCAGGAATGTGGGCTTTCCAGGAAGCAAAAGACATACAGGTACTCTATGGCTGAAGAACACTTGGGCTCCGATTCTTTCTCTTTTTGGAATAAAGATGTACCCTTGCAGATGTGAAGACTGGTTTTAAGATCAGGAGAAATCATTAGCAGTAAATATTGTCTTAAATGAAAGTATACAGATTTTAATATAAATCCTTTCAAAATGGAAATATAAAATCAGGCATAGTCAAAAAAGAACTTTCCACATCAGTGGGACCCTACTTTGCATGGACTTGTCATGGGCAGCTGTGTGCCCAATAGGAATCCAAAGTGTTAAGAAAAGGTACAGGAAAAATGTGCATCGGCTCCTTCCTGAGGGACTAGCTCAGTTCCAGTAAAACTATCTTCAGATAATTAGAAACATAATCTAATTTCACAGTTGTGTCTCATCTTTTCCCACCCATCCACAGTCCGCCTGTCAATACTACACTCTCCATCTCAAAGGAGCTGGTGTGAAGATTAAATGAGTTCATTCCTATGAAAAACTAAGGACAGGGAACAGTGCACAATAAGAGCTCAACACATGCTAACTAGCATGCCACTGAAGACTTGCTAAAGATAAATTAGAGATATTTGAAAACCTGTTTTAACATATTTGTCACCATTTCTTCATCAACCCAATTGTTACAAATAATGAAAAAAATCAAAAGGATAAGAGGCAGGAAAAAGGAATAAAAAGAAGACATCAGAATAATCTACCAAGTCATTATGCTGTTTAAGAAAGAGAGCTTTAAACGTACTGTCCTCATTGTTATCAGACCAATACAAAAATCTGAATGTATGTATGATCGGTACAGTCAAAGCACAGTGGAAGTTTGAAACAGACACCTTCTTTCAAGGTCAGCAACAAAGTGGACCTAACGCAGTCCCCATGAAGAACTGCAGTAGTAATGCCTAACACTGACCGGGGGCTTACTACCCTGTGTCAGGTCTAAGTGTTCAATGTATCAGCTGATCTGTGTGACAAATGACATAACTAAGAAGTAAGTCCAAAATATGTAATCAAGTAAACATGATGATATTTCCTAAAATATTTTAACTGTGTTAAAGAAAGGAAAAAAATAGTTCTACTTTAGAAGTTATTCCTAAATGGTGTTAATGACTTCTGTTTTCTCATGACAGTGTACTTAGTGTTGAGCACATTTTTAAGGAGAAGGTAGCGTGGTACCTGACTCCGGTGGTGGGGCGTGAACAGTGGTGCTGCTGTAACTGCGCTGGCTCATGCCAGACCCCGGGCTCAGGGCCACCGTGGACAGGGTCCGCGGAGCTCCTCCTTCAGCGTCCGCGGACTGTCTGTCGGGCAGCATTTCTGGTTTAGGTATGGCTGGGATCTGAGCAACAGCTGGTGGGATAAGAGAAATCAACAGTGAAGATTAAAGTTCCCAACAGGAAGTTTATACTAAAGACCCAAATAACTTACAGATGTTCACAACTGACAAATTAAAACCTATTGGCCAGAAAGAGGCAATAAGAATAGGCTTATTTGAAATTACAATGAGATAATTAAAGAAAAAATTAAAGAAAAATGGAAAGTGTGGCTTTGTAATTATTCTTTTTATCTAACCAAGAAGGGCATCCTGTTACCTTGCAACGTGTGAACATCTTCTGCCTTGAGGTTTGGTCTGTCTTCTTCTGAGGATGAAGTTGTATTGGTGCAGGATATACACTTTCTTTTCAAAGCTGGAATGTTGTAGCTCTTCAGGTATCTGCAAAACATGATTAGGTCACATATTCCTAACTTTGCCATATTCCACCTTTTTGCTTTTCTCACACCAGTTCCGTTTGGGGTGCTTTGTGTTTTCTTCTTTGATGGAGCCTTCCCTGACCACTGTTCTTACATCTCTTGTACTACAGTCTTGAACTGACCTTTAAATAACAACATTTAATTTTTATAATCAGGATCTTGTCTCCTCAACTATACCATAGCTCTTTCAAAGAGGGGATGCATCTTTGAATTTTGCATCCCCTAAAATATTCGATTTATTACATAGGAAGCACTCCATATGTATCTATTGATTTATAGTGATAAATCAAGATTAACAGCTACAAAAATATAAAGTTTCTACAATGACAACATATGCTTTTGGAAAAGCTAACACATGGTCAAAATTGATACCTGATAACACTATCAATACAGTTTATTTGCTGATAGGATGGACTATGCTGCTCTTTTCTCAAATCCTCATAAGACTCAGTGTACATGTTATTGTTTTTCAATGTCTGGAAGGAAGAAAAGGTCCTCTGCTCATCTGAAAGAAAATGAAAGGGTATACAATTAAAAATACATACTTAGCAACAGGTACCTACTCAGCAAAATTAAATCATGGTATTTAGGATATACACATTCAATAAAATATCATGGAACTATTAAAAATGAGCTCAGATTTAAATGCACTGATATAGAATGATATCCACATAGAATGATCACATGATCATATGATTACACAATGTTTCAGGCAAAGATTACCATGGAATGAAACTATTAGGTGAAAGGTTGATGGAGAACTTCACCATGTTGAGCTGACACTACCTCTACAACTGAGATCTTGGCATCATGAGGGGCGGGGCAACCAGACATAGCACTTATCTGTTGCTATGTAACACGCATAGTAGTGCCATGTTGAACTTGTGTCCAACAGAACTTTGTGTGATGACAGAATCATTCTTTCCTGCACTGCCCAAGGTGGTAGCTGCTAACACCATGCGTAGCACTGAAGTGCTTGAAATGAGGCTAGCACAACTGAGGAACTGCATTTTACATTTTATTTATTTGTAACTAATTTGAATTTAAACCAACAGGTGTGGCTAGTGGTTACCCTATGGGATAGCAGAGGTATAGAGAGAAGAAAATGGCCTCCAGCTGGCTCACTGAAGAATGTAAACTTTTTGTAGAGAGGAATGAGCCAGGAAAGGAAACTGCACAGAGCATCAGAAAGGCAGAGAGCTCCGGCAGGGCCCAGGGCCCAGAAAGCAAGGGTGGAAACTATTTCAAGGAAGGACTACCTAGTGATGTCAAATTGTTGAGAGGTTGAGTGAGAAATATTAGCTACTGTTGTAATTAATAAAGGTTATTTCAGCTGCTTCCAGAAGGCTTCTTCATTTTGAGGAGGAATTACAGGAAAATGTCTGCTTACCTTTTAAATTAAAAAAAATAATAATTTTAAACTTGAAGAGGTTACAAAATTATACCCTTCACCCACCTTCCACTAATGTAACATCTTACATAAACATGATAAAAAGAACTAAGGAATTAACAGTGGTAGGCTGCTAAATGAACTAAAACCTACTTAGACTTCACCAATTTTTCCATTAAGTGTCATTTTTTGGTTCCAGGATCCAATCCAGGACCTCATGCTGAATTAAGTTGTCAACATCTCCCTGGACTTTGTCTTTCATGATGTTGACTTTTGAAGGATACAGGACAGGAATTTTGTAGAAATGCCCCACAACTTGCATTTCTCTGATGTTTCCTCATGATTAGGTTGAGGATATGCATCTGGGGAAGATGACAATCGAGGTGCTGAGCCCTGCTCAGGGCATCACACCATGGGGCACTCGATGCTGATTGGTTTCATCACTGCTGGTCAGCCTTGACTTAAGGTGGGGTCTGCTGGGCTTCTTCTATGTGAAGTTACTATTCTACAATGTAATAAATGATGTAAACAATAAATGTTTTAACAGAATACTTTGAGACCATGTAAATATCCTATTTTCTTTACACTTTCACTTACTGGTTACACAAAATGTGAAGGTACTTAATGCTACCAAATGGTATACTTTAAAATGTTAACTTATATATTACATATATAAAATATATATGTATCTCCACAACTTTAAAACATCTTTCATCTAAATTTTAGCATTCATTGGAGGGTATTCCCTGCAGCAATTACTACTGGGGAATTTTTTTCCTCTTTCAGTTTTGAGTTATAATTGACATACAGCAGTGTGTAAGTTTAAAGCATACAATGTAATGACTACTGTGGAATTATAATAGCAATTTTCAGTTTCTACAAAGACCCCCTTGCAGGCCCTCTCAATGGAAAAAAAAACAAATAAATAGATGTACACACACTGATTCTTGCCTGCCTGTCCGTCTGTCCATCCATTAAACAGACAGGCATGAGTTCATGCTGACTCCTTTAACTCCAATCCAGCACGTTAATTCCAGCATTCCCTCTTACTTGTACCTTCTATCTCCAGATAGTGATGAATCTGGTTATTCTTACCTACAATGTATATACCTACTTGTTCAACTCAACTGTGCATTTAAAGTAGTTTCAGAAGGCACCACGCTCTGGTGAGAAACAAGTCATCAATTTGACTAAAGTGTTTGTGTGCATTTATATTTTGTATTTATTCGCAGTGTGTTCAGTTACAAAACACTGATTCACAGAGCCACACAGCTTCTTTTCCCCCCCATCCCCTTTGGTACGTTTATACCATTCATTTGTAATACAGTTAGATTCATCTGTCACAAACTGTATATCATCTTGGGTACCTCTATATGCCCGGGCGGGATGAGGTGTACAGATCTATGGATTTTAACAAATGCACAGAAAGTTGTGTATCCACCACCAGAGGAACAAAAAGAACATTTCCATTAGTTAATAATTTCCCTCTAGTGCTCCTTTATAATCAACTCATTCCCCGATCTCAACAAATACTGATGTTTCCTGGATCTACAGCATTCCAGAAGGAAGCTTTTCAAGAATGGAATCATATAATATGTAACCTTTTTGATCCTGACTTATTTCACTTAGCAAAGTGCACTTAAGAAACACCTACTTTGCTGTATGAATCAAGTTAACTTCTCTTCATTGCTAAGTCATATCCCATTGTATGAATGTACCAGTTTATTCATTTACCTACTGATGGACATCTAGGTTGTTTCCAAGGTTTGGCCAGAGTGAATAAAGTGTAAAAAACATTCACAGACAGGTTTTTGTGTGAACTTAAATTTTTATTTCAGTTGGGTAAATAACCAAAAATGGAATTGCTGTGTCATATGGGGAGAGTATGTTTTTTTAAAATTTTGGTATCATTAATATACAATCACATGAGCAACACTGTTACTAGATTCCCCCCATTGATCAAGTCCCCACCACATACCCTATTACAGTCACTGTCCATCAGCGTAGTAAGATGCTACAGTCACTACTTGTCTCTGTGCTGTACTGCCTTCCCTGTGCCCCACCCTACATCATGTGTGCTAATTGTAATGCCCTTTATTCCCCTTTTCCCTCCCTTCCCACTCACCCTCTCCAGTTCTTTTCCCTTTGGTAACTGTTAGTTTGTTCTTGGGTTCTGTGAGTCTGCTGCTGTTTTCCTCCTTCAGTTTTTGCTTTGTTCTTATCCTCCACAGATGAGTGAAATCCTTTGGTACTTGTCTTTCTCCGCCTGGCTTATTTCGCTGAGCATAATACCCTCTAGCTCCATCCATGTTGTTGCAAATGGTACGATTTGTTTTCTTCTTATGGCTGAATAATATTCCATTGTGTATATGTACCACATTGTCTTTAGCCATTTATCTACTGATGGACACTTAGGTTGCTTCTTGGCTATTATAACTACTTCTGCGATAATCATAGGGATGCATCTGTCTTTTTGAATCTGGAATCCTGCATTCTTAGGGTAAATTCCTAGGAGTGGAACTGGGTCAAATGGTATTTCTATTTTGAGTTTTTTGAGGAACCCCCATACTGCTTTCCACAATGGTTGAACTAGCTTACATTCCCACCAGCAGTGTAGGAGGGTTCCCCTTTCTCCGCAGCCTCACCGGCATTTGTTATTCCTAGTCTTTTCTATGTTGGCCATCCTAACTGGTGTGAGGTGATATCTCATTGTGGTTTTAATTTGGATTTCCCTGATAATTAGTGATGTGGAGGATCTTTTCATGTGCCTGTTGGCCATCTGAATTTCTTCTTTGGAGAAGTGTCTGTTCATATCTTCCGCACATTTTTTAATAGGGTTATTTGCTTTTTGGGTGTTGAGGCATGTGAGTTCTTTATATATTTTGGATGTTAACCCCTTGTTGGATATGTCATTACGAATATATTCTCCCATATTGTAGGATGCCTTTTTGTTGTACTGATGGTGTCCTTTGCTGTACAGAAGCTTTTTAGCATGATGTAGTCCCATTTGTTCATTTTTTTATTTTGTTTCCCTTGCCTGAGGAGATGTGTTCAAGAAAATGTTGCTCATGTTTATATTCAACAGACTTTTGCCTATGTTTTCTTCTAAGAGTTTTATGGTTTCGTGACTTACATTCAGGTCTTCGATCCATTTCGAGTTTACTTTTGTGTATGGGGTTAGACAGTGATCCAGTTTCATTCACGTGCATGCAGCTGTACAGTTTTGCCAACACCAGATGTTGAAGAGGCTGACATTTTCCCATTGTATATACAATGCTCCTTTATTGTATATTAATTAACCATATATGCTTAGGTTTATATCTGGGCTCTCTAGTCTGTTCCATTGCTCTTATGGGTCTGTTCTTGTGCCAGTACCAAATTGTCTTGATTACTGTGGCTTTGTAGTAGAGCCTGAAGTCAGGGAGTGTAATCCCCCCAGCTTTCTTCTTCCTTCTCAGGATTCCTTTGGCTACTATTTGGGGTCTTCTGTGGTTCCACATGAATTTTAGAACTATTTGCTCTAGTTCATTGAAGAATGCTGTTAATATTTTGATAGGTATTGCACTGAATCTGTAGATTGCTTTGGGCAGGATGGCCATTTTGACAATATCAATTCTTCCTATCCATGAGCACGGGATGTGTTTCCATTTATTAGTATCTTCTTTAATTTCTCTCATGAGGGTCTTGTAATTTTCAGAGTACAGGTCTTTCACTTCCTTGGTTAGGTTTATTCCTAGGTATTTTACTCTTTTTGATGCAACTATGAATGGAATTGCTCTCCTGATTTCTCTTTCTGCTAGTTCATCATTAGTGTATAGGAATGCAACAGATTTCTGTGTATAAGTTTTATAACCTGCAACTTTGCTGAATTCACATATTAGATCTAGCAGTTTGGAGTGGATTCTTAAGAGTTTTTTTATGTACAAATATCATGTCATCTGCAAACAGGGACAGTTTAACTTCTTCCTTGCCAATCTGGATGCCTTTTATTCCTTTGTGTTGTCTGATTGCCGTGGCTAGGCCCTCCAGGACTATGTTGAATAGAAGTGGGGAGAGTGGGCATCCTTGTCTTGTTCCTGATCTTAAAGGAAAGGAAAGCTTTCAGCCTCTCGCTG